TACATATCGTTTAAGTTCGCCTGTTACCGCGACGCAGGTGTGTCAACGCGGGAACAAGTTAAATCAGTTCAGTGACCGTAACAACTAATCGATTAATGACAATAACGCGATTGGAGGTTTGATTTATTGGAATAAAGTAAGACTTGATATTATTTGGAAAGAGTGCGCGGTGTATGCAGTAGGAAATTTATCGGGCAAAGTAGAGCTGATTTGCAAAGTCGTGGTTCATGTGAATTTAATAGAGCCAAGAACAGATCGCCTTTCTAATATTGACGGCAATTTTTTGAAGATGATCGATGAAGCAAAACTCGTGTCAAACAATTGGGAAATGATTAGAGAGGCTAAAGGTATTTTACACAAAAATGAATTTCAAGGCAGAGAGAACTTTCTTTCAATATTTACCCTGAAAATCGTGTAATCGAGGGACAACGTGGCATTTCGAAGAGCTTTACGAGTTTTTGAAATTTTACCATACATCTTACTAGTAAAATTACTAGGAAAATGTATGGCAAAATTTAAAAGAACTCATGAAATACTTCAAAATGCCACGTTCTCCCACTATTGCATGATTTTCAGGATAAATTTTAAGAGAAAATTCTCTCCGTGTACCATCACAATCCAATGAAAAAGGCTACACAAAAGAATACACATTGCAATTGGATGTATTGGTACCTCTTGTATACACCATGCAGAAATGGTGTCTCTGAGCATAATAAATTGATCGAATCTAAGTATTCTAGCTTACGAGCGCCCTTCGGCTTATTGGTTTCCGCGAATTACTCGTTAATGGCGGTCACATCATTAACCGGGCTTAATTGCGAGAGCTCGCGAGTATCGGCGTTCCGTGCGCCTCGATGTAATTATCGATTTTTCAAAACGCTCCGTCGCATCCGCCCCGTCTTGCGCGTATCGGCATTCGCGTTCTTGATTTCACCGCTTTGTGCCCCCGACTAGCGTGGGCCCCGACACCGGAAGAATCTCAAACCGGAATACACGCTCGAATACAAATTGCGAAGGAAGTCGTTCCTTATCGCAGGACTTCCTCCCCGTCGAAGCTCGCGCCCTCCGAGCAGCGGGGGCTCCAATCGCGCGACAGTTCCGATCGATGAATCGCGCACGGACGACGGGCCGCCGTTTTTATTAGAGCAAAGTCTTTAGCTCCCCGAGTGTCAGGGAAAACGTCAGCGTCCCATTAGTATGCTCGGCGAGTCCTTCCTTCCTTCGCGACACCCCTGGAGACGCGGGAGCACCTGCTAAACTGTCTCTCCCCGAGCCCTTGCGAGGCGTCGCGGTAACAAGACACGTGCTATGCAGATGTCGCGTCCAAGAGCCACCACCCCCTTGGCGGGACGCCATCCGTGATTTAGGCTAATTACGCGCGACCGGAGGCCGAGAGGATTTCTCCCGCCGTATCTTTGTACACGCAAAGAAACGGCTTAGCAATTTCGGCAAAATTTCGGTAGCTGGTTTCAATTTAGTTGAAAAGCTAACTGTTTTGTTATTTAGTTAAAAATGTATTATTATTGTACCTTTATTGCGAGATGCAACGCTTTATTAGGAAAGATATTTGGAAAGAGTAGCTAAGAGAGCAGCTACGAGGGTGGGTTGAAAAGTTTTGAGCCTAACATAGAAACAATTTTTTTTTCTTTCGGTCAAACTCACTTTTATCTTTCGACATGGTCTCCTTTTAAGTCGATACACTTACTCCAGCGATGCTCCAACCGCTTTAACCCATCCAAAGAATAGTTGGCGTCTTGCTCTGCAAAATAGGCGTCTACGGATGCTACGACCTCCTCGTTCGATAAAAATTTCTGTCCTCCGAGCCAAACTTTGAGTTTAGAAAGCAGAAAAAAGTCACTGGGAGCTAGTTCTGGTGAATCGGTGGTCAATCAGTTCGGACAGCAACTCGTGAAATTTGGCAGGATGTTCAATTTTTCCCATTTTTACGAAAATACTAACATCTACTGGCACAAAAGACTGTCGTGCAACAACTGAGAGCCCAAAATGGCTGAAATTTTCAGAGGGATCGAAGCATGTACAGTCATAGTAGTGAAGTGGCGACGACTAGTAATGCCATCTTCATGTTGAGGCTCAAAACTTTCCAACCCACCCTCGTTCTTCAAACTGTGGTACGCATGGTCCCGATTTGTTTCACTGCAGCGTCTAAGTTGGAAAAGTTACCAAATTGAGGTTCGGTAGCAACGACATTAGCTGTATCTATTTCAAAGACACATATTATAGTTGCCGTGGCTTTATTTTAACTCTTGGCTAATCATTCGTGTACACGCTTGACGCGATATCTTTCGGTAACCACCGAGTGAATTGCAGACATGTATTCGCCCGGAAACTATAAGTCGCGTTTCAGGCTCGCCAAGGTTGCTAACGCGAGCATTAGCACTCGTTGAAACCGAATGCAAACCAGTGAGCGCGAACAAACGCGAATGAACAACTTGTTTCAGCGAGACAGCGAGGCGAGGCGCTTGTTCGCTCTCGTTTTGCCTGACCCTCGCACGCTTCGAATTTTCTGTGCTTCGCCTTTCTACCTGATCACATGTATATGTGTGCACAAGGCATTCGCGAACTATCGCCCTGTTCGTCGAGCTCCCTCGGTCCGAGATTGGCATCGATCTGTCGTTGAGAGAAATTAATACCGTGGAGCGAGAGCTGTTCTCGGGCGTGGGCGTTAAGTATTTCGGTCGTGAAATCTCAAATCAGAAGCTCGATGAGGGGATTGACGGGAACTCGGCAACGTCTCGTATATACATTGTATGTACACCTAATATGGCTGCTTATCACGCGAAGTACACGTGTACACGGATACGCATCGAGCGGATGCGGATAGACGTGATAATTCCCTCATACATGTAAATGCAGCTGTACATAGCGTTTACAATATGTGCGCGCGCGGTATATGCCTACATATACATATGTATACAGTAGACGCAGCGAAATTACGCCGGTTGCACTAAATACCGATCCTTGACTGCGCGTATAATTATCCTGATGTATCGGTGTGCAGCTAGCAATTCGCAGTGTACATAGGCTGCCGTATACTTATGTATACGCACATATATAATATAATATTAATATATATATTATATGTCTGGACAATTTTACAATTAGTCGCGCGACCGGGCGCGACTGTCGACGGAGAAGGCGACTCCACACTTGTGCATTTGCATAAGTGTCCGCCGCCATCCGTGTTCTACGTCTGTACTCGGACACCACGATTGCCCGCGTACTATCTTGCACAGTAACGGACAGAATGATTGCGACACTTTTTTTAATGACTTCAGGAACGTGCGTTCAGATTCACGTTTGCGTTCCAAAAATTCTTCTCCGAGGACAATTTCACTCGAGAAGTAGATCGGAAACGCTCAAGATCGTCTCGGAACGGCCATCGAGTAAAATTTCCCTCGGAGAAGATCTTGGAATGTAACCCTGAAGTCTAACCGCGTGTTCCTAAACTCATTAAAAAAAAGTGTCGCAACTGTTCTGTCCATCGATGTGCATGCTTCACTCGCATTTGAAAGGAACGCGCTCTTTTCTCGTCACATCCTAACAGATCACGCAGACTTAATAGCCGATCGATGTTGGGACGCGCAGTTTCGATAAATAAAAACGCGCAACGGCGAGCCGTGTACACGATACGATACGCAATTTGGCGATGCTTAGAGTCTCGCGGGGTTCGCGTTTGTATGCTCGTACGTGTGTGCGTGTGTACGTGTGTATCGGGATACAAAGTCGCAACTAGATTACGAGGGTTCGATGGTCGGCAGGATCGAAGGGTCGCCCGCGGGACACAGTTTGCGCACGGTGGCTTATCTTTCGACCGTTTCCCTCTTCGCTCCACTTTCGTCACATGGAATGAAATATAGAGGGACGATGACCAGTTCGTATCATCGCCGGCTATACGTTCCCGACGACAGTCACCTTTGTAGTCTGTTGTCAGCTGTCTTTTTTTTCTAGAAATTTCTGCCCAACCGTGACGATAATATTCTATCGCCGTCGAGAGGTATCTACTTTCGCCTGCGAATGTCTGTGTGACGACGGGAACAATCAAAGATTCCCGAATCCGGAGCCCTCGGTCGTCAAAAGTTAATCTCGGACACGAATTCGATCTTAGTCTCAGAAAAATCTCTGGAGACGAGATTTGGAAGAGTCGTGGCGTTTCGCCGCGAGAAAACGGGCGGGAGCGATGAAAAGAAAATGAGAGAGAAACGTTGATAGCGAGAGATGATCGTTGGGCGGGCGAGTGTGCAATTTCGTAGCGTTTTATAGCGCTCGTAACATTTTTGCCGCGTCCCGCGTGCGCGCAATTAGCGAGTTAGCTACTGTGTAATCACGCGTGTCGTTAAAGCGTCGAAAGAAACGGAGACCGACTTCGGCGTCGACCGTGTCCCGTTCGACAGACGAATCCCGTGTTTAAAGCCGATTTGAACGGGCAGCTTGTTATTACACCGTGGTACGCGCCGCGATCGTAAAAAGAATGGCGCGCGAAAAACTCATCGTGTTAAACACCAGTTACATTTCGCCGTTATGTTTACCTGACACTAGACGCTCGTACATTAGCCGTGATAAAGTACGTCTTGGCGAGCCGCGGCGGGGTGTATTAACATCCCATCTGTACCGAGTCTATATTTATCAAGTAACATCTCAATTCTCCGAGTGGGTTTCTTTTTCCGACGATCGACGGCTCGGCCGTTCTTTGGGAACTTCGTGACGGAAAAACGAGTAGCAGCCGTAACAAAATCAGCAATTGACTCTCCTGGCTAATAAGAGAGCTCGGTGTATCATATCCCGCAATTACTCCTATCCCTGAGCGTCGAGCACTAATAATGAAGCACGTCGGTGCGAGAGTTACGCCATTAAATCCGTGTTGTATTGCCAGGCTGAATGTTTATCGCGCGGTTGAACCTCTCCGTCTCGATTCCGTCGCGATCTGCGAAGGACGAAGGACAATTGTGTGAATATCTGGTTGTGGTTTTGTCGCAGGTGTCGGCGGGCCAGCACATGCAGCTCTCGGGCGACCTAAAGCCGGTCGTGTCCGTCGCGGCGCAGCAGGGCATGTACTTCAATCAGCAGCAGTCGCAGAACCAGGCCGGGCCGCCGGCCAATCAGGCCGACACCTACTGCTCGGTCTCGCAGTCCCAGACCATCAATTTCACCCAGCAGAGTTTGAGGCAGCGGCAGACCGGCGGAGTGCCGCAGCCGGGCGCCGCCGGCCCGGGGGCGCGGGGCCATCCGCAGCAGGTGCCGCCGGGCCAGGTCGACCAGCATCAGCACGCGAAGCTCCTCCAGCAGCAGCAGCAACTGATGCGCGCGCAACAGGTAAGCCACCTGATTTTCTTGGCGTCGAAAGGGCGAAACTTTCGCGCGGTCGTCCTCAGGGTATCATTACACTGAGAAAAAGTCTTTCAACATTTGCTTGTGGCATATACCTTAATGTTTATTTCGCTGAAACAAATCTCTTATTAAATACAGCAAAATACAATGTTATTTCTAGTACATAAACAATTTATCTTATTTTTAAAATAAGTATTACTTATTACAAAAAATTGTTTGTTTCCTTGAAATGAGTTTTTTTAATTGCAAATATCAAGTTTCTTTAAACTTTTATAAATTCAATATACCTAAATAATTATAACTTCTCACAATTTTGTTTTATTCCAATTAATAGCAATGGGATTAATATTCATTCTCGTTGCCAGTCAATAACACAGAAAAGCAAAAAGTTGTCTGTATATTCAAAGGTACGCGTCACTTTGGTCTGATGAGTAAGATATTCTATAGCAAACTTACTTATTACATTCTCACTCCATCGCTGTAAATGTATTGTATCTAAAACTCTCTGAACACTATGATCCATTTTTATAATGGTTTTAAGCAAACTTAACATATAACACTGCACACTGCACACTTAATATGGCAAATCAGATGCAGAAGGACAACGAACCGTTGCGGCGTCCCTTATCACTTGTCTGCCATATTGCATGCAACGTGAATCAACTAGAAGTAAATTTTGACCCAACGAAATGGCCATTTGTTTCTAAGGCATAAATTTAATCTCCGAAAATCAATGTCATATATCAGTAAAGATTAATCGTATTGTGTGTAGCTAAATTACATTTCCGGATTTGTCGTACGACAAATGTAATACCAGCCTTACACGCGCACCCAGAGAAAAGTTTCTTTAAAGTCAAACAAATTTTCTATGAATTTTGACCTTGCTAGACTTTTATTTAATTCAAAGAAATGATTTCTTCGCCTTGACAAAAATTTTATTTGATTGAGACTGAAATCTCCCAGAGAAATCATATCTGTTTCTTGAAATCTAGCAAATTAGTAGATTCAAGGAAACACGATTTCAACGTATCTCATTTGTTTAACCTAAATAAATCTTCTTTCTGGGTGCGGTGTCTCGAGGTTGACGGCGATAGAAGCGGCGTGTCGCCGTCCGAGCGATCTCGCGATTGACGCTCGATGACCTCCCATTCGGATTTTTATGCGCTACATCGCGCCGAAATAGACGCGAAATTATGTCTCATGCATGCATAGATCACGTTCGGGCTCGCGTTTTTCCACTGAATCGCTTTACGTAGCGACGATCGTGCGTTTTACCTTTATGCGATTGTTATCGTCTTTCGCGCACTTTCGCACCTTCGCCGCGATATCATCGCGTTCGAGAAGTACGATTCCGAGTCGTTACGCCGATAAACGGCATCGTCCTCCGGAGCGAAAGCTTTCGCCGTGACGATCGCTTATGCAGGTAAGATGATCGCGAGATCGCGGCGCGATGGCGCATTATCCGAGACATTAAGCTCGTATCCGGCGAGAGAGGAAGAGAAAGAGAAAGAGAGCGCGAGAGAGATAGGGGAGAGAGAGCCCGCGACGTCCATATGCAACAGGTACCGCTACTAGGTCTTTTGCAACTTCTGCCCCGTCGCGTTGAAAGAAGCGACACAAATAGGACAAATAGCGCCAGCGCGGCGTGGCGGAGGGAGGAAAAGTGACACGGGGGCTTTCTCCGAGAGAGAGAGAGAGAGATGGGGAACAATGGGCGAAAAAGTTTTTGCGCCGCGCCACGGAGCTGCTTCCTGCGGGAGCCCGTGATATCGAGGGAAGCTGGATATCGGCAAATTAGCGCTTTCTCGGCGATCACCTCACGCGAAATTAAACACCGATACGTACGCTTTTATTTTCGCGATGGCTCGCCGACCTCAAAAGCGACGATTCTCGACGCTAAACGCATTCGACGCGCTTATCCCGCACGCAAAGAACATAGCGCAAGCGACACAATTGTCGTAATTTGCCCGTCTCCTCGCGCATTCTTCCCGATTTTTTCTCCTTTATTATTTATTTTGGGATTCTCCGATGAGAAAAATATTGGAAATTACCTTTCCTTAAAGAGGATTTGATAGCGGACGACTTTTTTTTTAACTCTCTTCAATTCGCCGTCGTAAAAGCCTTCGATCGAACTTCTTGATCAAAGAACGTCCAAGTACGTCCAGAATCTAGCATCAATTTTAAGGGGATCCTAAAACCGCCTGTTTTATCGACATTATTTATTAGAAGTAATCTTTTAATTGGCTTTACAGAAATGCAAAACTCTTTTGCGGAATTAAAGTACGCAGCAAAATCTAAACTATGCTGGTCGACTTTGTATCAAAAACGAAAAAAAATTAAACATATTACTAATTTTTGGTACACTTGACGATAATATTTGCTTGATACAAGAATTCTACAATAAATATATACATGCTAGAACTCGATCCAAAATCTTGGTCTAATAAAATTGCCGCTCTTTCGTAAAAACTGCAAATTGATTGGCTATAAATTTCTCAGACCGAGTGGAACTTGAAATTAAAAATGTCGACGTTTGGTCTATCTTATCGACACGGATGGAGTTCGTCAGCGGCTTTAGGATCCCCTTAACTTTCAAATTGATTCAGATCAGATAACTTTTTCTTGTGCGGCCTGACGACTTGTCTTCGCCGCTTATTGCGAAAAGATGCGCGTCGCCGCGAAATCGATCTAGCAATTGCGAAATTGTGGCGTACACGAGGAGCTGCTCGTCGGGAGGATCTCGCGGCGTTCGCGTGGCCGCCTATCGGCGGATGACTCAGTCAAGCAACAGCCCGATTGTTATCTCGATAATGCTAAGGTACCAAAGACGACGGCTGCTCGTGCTCCAGTTACTAATTGTACGTTTCGTAGTTGGTTAGTCATTCCGTTTCTGCCGGGGATGAGCTTCGGGCGACGAAGCGGTGCGCATCATCCAGAGCGGCGCGCAGCCAGCCCGATCATTTTCTCCCAAGTGAGGAGTTCTCGGCCAACGTTGATCTACGCGAATCGATTGCTCTCTTTCGAAATGGCATTTTTACACACTTACATGCGCATGCAATTGATTAACAATCGGCAGAGCAACGAATTGAAGAGGCATAATTCTCGCGACTGACTCTCGGATTGCTTCATCTCGATTCACAGTTCCTCATCAATATACTCTTTGTGGAGGTTTTCCTCTGGATGGTTTATTAAACGAGTCTCTTTCACAAATCGATAATCGACAGTAATGTCAAGATGTATCTATTGAAAGCAACGTACACAGTTGGATGAGGCCCGGCGGTTCGCGACTTGCACTTGTGTACGTCAGACTTTCGACGTATTATATATTCTCTCTTTTCGTTAAGTTTTTACCTACACGTATTTTCAGCTGTCTACGAACATTCGAGAAAGTCGCTGCTTAATAATACCGCTTCGCTTTTTCCAAATAAATAGTGCCGGACAAATAATACGGAAATGAATATTCAACAGTCAAACAGTTACCTACATCTTGCTACAAGGTTTATAAACAGAATGTTTCATTTCAATCGTCCTGGGAAAATATTTCGAAAAATGTGAAAGATACAGAGGAGGAGATTTTAGACAAAAGTTGTTCGGTTCGAAGGGGAACGTAAGATGGTGTCCTTGGTTTGACCTTGAGTGAACATACCAAGGTCATGTGGAGTTCAACTTTGTTCTTTTAAATGAAACCCCCCCCCCCCCCATTTTTCATTGCATATTCTTATACCTCGAGAACTTTTCCAAACACACTACAATTATTTTTGCATGAAATACTTGTCGAGTTAAAAGGCTCGAAAGGTACAGTACCAAGGTGCAAGCTGCGTGGAAGTTGCACGGTCGAATTTACACCTCTGTGTGGTTTGCGTACACAAATAAATATAAATAAAATATAATTCTCGAGATACAGATCGAGAATATATTTAATTATATTTATCAAGTTTTGCAAATAATACATTAGCCCATAATCTATTGTATCAACATTGCGAGAAACGTACAATTGTGATATTATAAGAAATGTACGAGATTTGGACCCGATATATGGAGGAAAGTCCCTTATTATGAGATAGAATCCTAATACGGGACAGCAGGGTTTCCGTTAAATTAATAGGCGTCATCGGTAGATTACACCGTGAATTTATTGCCCTCGGAGCGAAATCTGTTTAGTGAAAAAATCGTTGCGAAAAGATTCGTGATTGAATTCGGGTGTCGTAAACTTGCTATCTCATATTATAGAAACCTATCTCGTAACAGAGGATTTTCCTCTATGTCTCCGGTGTAAAGTGAGAACCGTTGCAAACGGTGGTGGGGTGATATCTTTGTCGAATTCCCTCACGTATGTTCCCTTTCGGTTTTTCCGCTTTCGCACGCAACATGCCCTGCGCGATCTCGATTAGCCCGCACTCGTAGCCCCGCGATAATATTATAATTGACGAGATGATCGGTCCTGCATTCATTCCGATCTATTAGGACAGTTAGCGTGCGCGGAACATCATCGTATAACGTCGTCCGCGCGAGTTCTAGGAATCACCGGGGCTCGTAACAGTCGCGGAAGCCCATTCGATCTCGCGTGGTAAATGCGAGTATCGCGATGGTGAAATACCCCGGTAACCGTGTTTGCAAAATTACAAAATCCGCTCGCGCGAGATCCGATGACGAGATGAATGAAAGGGGGGGAAAAAAGGCAGGAAATATTTTCGATACTAACTTACGTGGAAATCTTTTCATTTTTTTTCTCAGGGCACTCTAAGGGCCAGTTTCACAAACGTCGATTAACTGCTAACCGAAGGTTAACTGATCCTCTGTCTCTTCTTAGAGAACAAGACAGAAAAAGATAGGGCATTGACTGAACTCTGGTTAACAGTTAACCAACGTTTGTGAAATTGGCCCTAAGACAAAAAGTGAAGAATTTCACTCTTATTTTTAAAGTGAAGTCGTTAGCCAAAATTTAATCCAACTAGTATGGTATTCCGCTACTAGATGGCCGCCGAACTCGTAAGTAAGATCACGATAGCCCGGCAGACAAGGGACCACGTCACGGGCCGGGACGATTCTTCCGCGACAATCAGCAGAATACTCTCTAAAATTTGTGGAGTGAAAATACTGCCATGGAGTGAAATGTTTACTCCATTGGAGTTAATATTCACTCTGTTGGAGGAAATATTCACGCCAATAGGGTGAATATTTCACTCCATGGCAGTATTTTCACTCCACAAATTTTAGAGAGTAAGCGAAACTATCACATAAAGTATAGATTTTCGGTATTAGCTGTGAATATCAGAATACAGCCCCTATATGCAGTGATCATAGTGAACAAATAATAGCGAAGCTCTCGTCCATGAATTTTATACAGCTAACAATAATCGATGAAAAGTCAAATAGCACTCTTTTCAGAGTTGAAGAATCAGTCCAAGTAAAGAGCAAATAACGGCACTCTTTCAAAAAGTGAAATTGCACTCCAGTCGGGCCGGTGGTATTTTCATTATTTCTTGGAGCGAAATCGCACTCCAAGAGAGTGGGATTCCACTCCAAAAAATTTAGCGAGTACATTCTATTATTAAGTCGACCATGACTATTTTAAAGACTACGGCCTTGTTACCTGTGTACGGCTCGCGTTGGCCTTTCCTACACTCCACTGGTTTTCATTTTCGATACTCTGGGAATACTTGTTCAAGCCCTCGCGCATCCATCCTTCTGGTCCACCGCCAACTGCGGAAGAGCACTTTCCTCTCTCCTGACTAATGATGCTTGGTGACCTAGTGCGATCGCGTTCGACGCGTAGAGCCGCGATTTACCGGGTTCGGCGGTCTCGTTGCGCAAGAGCATCCGGGATTGCGTTTCCCGCTTCCTGGTGTTACGCGTTGCGAGGAAAGTCCGGGGCGAAGGAGAGAGACGCGCGACAATGCAGGCAGCGGCCGCGATGCTGCCGAGCCCGCCCGTCGCTTTTCACACCGCCGTGTCTCGGATACGTTCACCCTTTCGCTCTCTCCCCCGCTCGCGCCGCTCTCCACCGCTCCCGGCCTCCTCTCGCTCGTCGCGCCGGCCGGCGTCTCTTTCCACTCTCGACCGAGCAACAACCTGCGATTAGGCGAGCAACGCCCTTCTGCGCTCTCGAGGCTCCGCGAAAGAGCGACGGGAGCCGCGGCGAGCCGACCTTAAAATCGTACGTTGCGACTTTCAGCGCGCGCTCGCCGATCCTCGAAGCGCCCGTCGGAGACGACTTTCCAAGTCTCCACGCGAGCTACCGAAAACGGGACGCGTGTTTGCCATTGGCGATGCGATGAGGCAAGCAACGCGATATTTCAGCACGTTCAGTTATATTAATCCGAGAACCGAAACGCCAGGTAGTTTATGACTAATACTTTGCTCGCATACGTGCGCTGAAATAATCCAAACTAAACATAACGTAGCTTTTATGTTCTTCCATTCTGCAATGTTGTTACACTTGGATCTGTCGTAAAATAGGACCGATATAGCGACAATATTTATTATAGTGGAAGGAAATATTTTAGATCTGTTTCACACATATTCGTGACGCGTTAGTGATGTTCGTGATGTATCAGTTACGATTATTCGCAGCTCATTCGTATAGTTTGGACTTGGTGATTTTCAAGATGGCTAATTTTACAAACTGGCAATGGTCGCTGTACTTTTAGACGAAGAAGAAGCGAATAAGACTGAATGGCCCGAATACGAGACCGTGCCGGGCACGTGAACACGTCCATGCGAAAACAAAAGGACAATATTTGTCGTCACTGATACGGAAAATGAGGTTGCGACAAGTTCAAATGTGTCAAGAGTACTTTTTGTCTCGTTCTCGGGGTAATAATCAAATTTTTACAATTTAGATACTTTCATTTCTATAATTACACTCTACATGTAACTGTTTTACGCATTGTGGAATTAGAGCGTTTTGTCCCAGCCGAGTCGCTCCGCGTATCATTCTTGTGTTCTTTTTCTCTAATTCTTGCGCGTTCCTACCTTTACAGGTGATGCAGCAGCAACAGCACATGGCGGGCGGAATGGGAGGCGTAAGGCCGCCACCACCCGAATACAAGACCGCAGCCCAGGCGCAGATGATGCACGCCAGTATCGGTATGGGTCAGCAAGCGAGGTTCCCCAATGCCGGGACCATGCGCAGAGGGTCCATGCAACAACCTATGCCGCCGTCGGGTAAGTCCAAAGGAAAAAATCCCGTCGGCCCCGCTATTTCGTTCGTTTATACAGGTTTGTACCTCATGGTTGTAACATAGCGTAACTAGTGTGTTCACTCCGTCACTTGTTTCGTTTTACGTTGATCCCTTCTGCGCATCCGACATTTTTTTGGCGGAGCCAATGAGACGGATGTTGTATATGTGGTAGTGTAGTCTTGATACACTACGTCACGTACGTCGCTGGATTGTCGCCCAGAATAATGGCGGAATACACCGTGCTCGGGACCGAAGAAATCAAAGGGGCCAGCAGAGAGTGGACCAACTAGTTGTACTATGGTAGTGTAACTTGGACGAGTTCAGTTTTATTCATTAATGCCTGGACCTACATTTTTATCATCATTTGTCTCATCTATACAGGCTGTATGTGTGTACAATCTTATGCATTAATACCTGGACCTCGATTTTAGGATTCACATTTTCATGATCTTTATTCCCGTCTATACATCGATGAGTAGTTCTGGCTGTAGTTCACACAGCTTCAGTAGAAGTCTGTGGTAGTACATGCAATCTGAAACTCAGTGATTTGTACAGGTGAGAAAAATGATGATAAAATGCAGGTCCAGGTATTAATAAATGAAAAACAACCTGTACTACCTCAGACTTCTATAGAAGCTGTGTGAACTACTAGTCTAAAACTCATCGATGACAGACGGGAATGAAGATAATGAAAATGTGAATCCTAGTAAAACTGAGGTCTAGACATTAATGAATGAAACTTTAATATAACTGGTAAGTCCACTCCGTCATTTGTTTCGTTTTGCGTCGATCTCTTCTGCGCATCCGACATTGTTCTGAGCAGACCAATGAGAGAATAGTTGTATGTGTGGTAGCGTGGCTTTGATGAGTACGTATACACACACGTCGCTGGATCCTGCCAGAGTGCGTGGCGGAATACCACCTGATCGGGACCGCAAAGATGAAAAGGGCCGACAGAGAGTGGACCTACTAGTTGTACTATGATAAAACTGAACGTACTATACACACACGCCGCTGGAAAAGATCTAAGGGCCGACAAGGAGTGAACGTACTAGTTGTACTATAATTGTAACGTCCACGTCTTGACGTACCGGATAGTCTCGTGAAAAGAATTACAATTAGTGCAGGAAAATCCGGAGATAATAGATTTATTGAGAATTTAAACGCCCGATGTTCGGTGTAACGACAAATTATATTTATAATAGTTTCCCTACGGTAAAGCGTGAAATGGACAAAGGGAGGTAAAAGTTATTCGCTTCCGCGTGCTTGTGTTTAAAACACGTCCTCCTGTTTCTCCTGTTTCCTTTGTCCTACTCTTGGCTCGTGATCGACACTCTCGCGTGCAGTCCAACGTTCTCTCGCTCGCTTCGACCTCTCGTTTGCGAATAACATGTGTACAAAAAAATCACTTGTCCGTTAATAATAACGTCGTGCACCGGACGGCTCAACCGTTACATCCCTGCATTAATAAGATCCATTTGCTTGACGGCAAACAGATATCTCGCGTTCGCCGTTGTTCGCCGTCGTCGGTACCGGATTACACGTTGAATATTACGGAAAGAATTCGACCGAGCGTAAACGCGATGCTGACGTCCCGCTGGATCCGCTCCAGGCCAGAGGGAGAGAAAGGCACAACGGGCGGCGAGGAGACGCGGAGGGGCAGTCGAAACTATCCTTATGCATCCCGGCCTCTCTACAAGACTCCTATCGATCGGGCCGACGCCGGTTTTCCCGAGGTTCTATCCAAACCAGAGGAGATCTGCGGATCCTCGCCGTTCTCCCCCGAAATCTCGCCCTCGCGAATTTGCGATTCGCCGCGCGAGTCTCAATCTCGATTCGGTTGAATTTAACTTGCGTTCGTCCACCGTCGCGGGAATTTTTCGTTTCCGCGCGAGTTTAAGTAACAGCAACGGCCAAGCGACGTCCCGACATCACGGTGCGTGTGGATGTTGTTTGCAGGTCCAATGATGAGGCCGCAAATGACGCAGCAGCAGCAGTTACACGCGGCCGGCGGTAACGTGTACATGGGCGGCGCCGGGATGGCCGCCATCAGCGGTATGCATCAGATGCATCGGCTAAACTACCCGAGGACCAACAATCAACGGCCGCCCAATGTCAGCGTCGGCCCTCCGGACGGCCTTGGGAACAGCATCGCGGGTCGCGGCGTCCAGCAGGAGTGGCGGCACGTTTTGATGCAGCAGCAGCAGCAGGGCTTTCAGGCGCAAATGCGCTCGCAATTCAACCAGCAGAGTCACCAAGGTGAGACTGAGGAGAGATTCAGTCCTGAGCAAAACAAGGACGGCAAACGTGATATTGTTTGTTCAAAGCAGTAAAGTGAAAAAATTAATAAGCAGAATGTTTCGACTACATAGAGTCTTTACCATTCGATGAATCGGTATCAGTGAACTCTATGCTATACTGAAAGACCCCTTACTGCCCTCTTGAAGAAGATGGACAGAGACGGACAAATGGTCCCCACGTATTTTTCTTTCTAGTAATTCGGATCTTACCCTGTAAGCAGGGTTGGGAAGTAACTCGTTACAGCTGCAGTTATTTTTTTGTTTAGTAATTCTAACTTAACTTCGTTACTTTCTCTCCATATGTAACTGCAACTTAACTCGGTTACATTTTTTTTCGATAACTGGTAGCTAATTTAAACGTTACATTAATAGTTACTTTATATACCTTTTTTAAACCTCCACAGATCGCATTGAGCCTTGCATTTGCGCATGAACGCCTTTATCAACGCTTTACAATTCAAATACAGATTCTGTGTATTTATTTTCACTGCAAGAAAGTAACTGCAGAGTAACGATTCGTTACTTTTTGAGTAACTTAACTGTAACGCGTCACTTTTGAGTAACTGTAGCTAGTTACATTTTTAGCGAAAAAAAAACTGTAACCGTAACTAGATACCTTTATAAAGTAACTTTCCCAACCCTGCTTGTGAGATAGAAAATCATTGAGCAATCAGAATTACTAGAGAGAGAGAGAGAGAGACAGAATGGGAACCACTTGTCTGTCTCACTCTTCATCAAGAGGGCAGCAGATCTTCCAGTATATAAAGGAAAGTCCCCGATTGTGAGACAGCAGGTTTTTAACGTCCAAAAATTCAGTCACAAATCTCTTTTCGCAACTGTTGCACAATCTAGCAATGAATTTTTTTATTAAACAGATTTCACTCCTAGATTCCTAAATAAATTCATGGTGGAACCAACGGATGATGCCTGTTAATGTAGTAGAAATCCCTCTATCTCTAATTAGAATCCTATTTCATAATAGGAGTCTTTCGTCTAGTACAGAGTTCAGTGATTAGTATACACGAATAAAAATTAATTATATAGGGATAAGATGGTCGGTAGATAAAAAATTAACTTTAAAAATACATAAAAGAAAACATAGATCCATATAAGTCAAAGAAAAAGTGACAAGAGGCTACATCTTATGCACGGAGAGAGAATTTTTCTAAAAATTTACCCTGAAAATCATGTAATGGGGTAACATGGTATTTTGCAGAACTTTTTATGAGAGTTTTTTGAGATTTTACCATACATTTTACTAGTAATTGCACTTGTAGCGAATTCAATTGCTTGTGCTAGTGCGCACCGAGTGCACACTAAGGTTTGTTTATAGTCGATGCTTATATTTAAAAATTGTCTTAAATACCTCTTGAAGTATTTCTTATACAGAAAAATGGTCTGTACAGCATCCGTAAGGATAATTTTTTTTGCTAAATAGTTTTTGAACATGTATTTGAGACAAACTTAAATATAGGAATTGACTACCCATACAGCACAGATGGTTGCAGTTACATTGCAGAAACGTGCAATCTTGCAGAGACATTGCAGGGATATAAAATTGCAAACTTTCGATAGCAATATTGCAGCAATGTTTCAAAAATACTAAAAATACTATATTTTCTATTTAAACATTTTTCGTAAGGATAATTTTTTTTTGCTAAATAGTTTTTGAACATGTATTTGAGACAAACTTAAATATAGGAATTGACTACCCATACAGCACAGATGGTTGCAGTTACATTGCAGAAACGTGCAATCTTGCAGAGACATTGCAGGGATATAAAATTGCAAACTTTCGATAGCAATATTGCAGCAATGTTTAAAAAATACTAAAAATACTATATTTTCTATTTAAACATTTTTCCTAATTACGAGAATTTTATAATGTTATTTTCGTTGATACCAATGCGATTGCTCGCAATCTCCATCTATTGCGAAGCGACAAAATCTCCTTAGGTTGCTTCGCAATAGCTTGCTGTATATTGAAAAAGGCCCGGATGCATATGTAATTAGTAAATTCTCTGCTTATGTACAACAACAAATTATTCCAAAAATATTGCACTGCAACATTGCTATAACGTTGCACTGCAATCTCTCTGAGGGCGGACATTTCAACGTTGCTGCAACCTTCCAGAAACGTTGCAGCAATATTGCAATCTTGCAATGTAACATTTCTGCAATCTTCCTGCAATCTTTCTGTGCTGTGTGGGTATAAACAAGCCTTGGTGTACATTCACAGTGCGCAACCGAATTCGCTCTTAGTGTATATTTTACCAATAGAATGCGGGGTAAAATTTCCAAAACTCATAAAATTCTTCGAAATGCCACGTTGTCCCACGATTTTCAAGGTAAATTTTAAGAGAAAATTCTCTCCCCGTGTAGAATCGGCGGATCGTGTTGATCGGAGACTTCGGTCACTAATGTCAGAACTAATTTCGCTGTTATGAGCGAAGCCGTCGTTCGAATATCCCGTGTTTTTGTGTGTGGATACAAACGCATAAATGCAAATCACACGTTGAAGCCGCGCTCCGCGCGAATTTCGCCCGCTGTTATTCGCGGGGAAAATTACTTGTGCGGAATCGACACGCCGGGATTTTATCGGATCGCACGATTTTTCGCAGGTGCTTTCGGCATGGGCGGCGCGGGCGGCGCGATGCAAATGACCGCGGCGCAGATGCAACATCAACAGCTAATCCGCTCGCAGAACGGCGGTATAGCCGGCTCGGGGATGGCCAACAGCACGCAGATGCAGCAGCTGTTGACGCAGCAGCACCAACAACAAACGCTTGCCATGCAGCAGCAGAACAACAATCAGATGTCGTTGCAGATGCAAATGTCGCAGACAACGTCCGTCAACTCGGTTAACGTCCCCGGGACCGGTGAGTAGCGATCCGCGGGGTGTTTCGAGCGAAGACGTTGCAGCGCGCTCGAGCGCAAGCGTTTACTGGTCGGACGGTGTCTCCGTGGCAGGGATTATCTGCCCCGCGCTTTGCGGGCATTCGGCACATTTAATTGGACCTGTACGAATTGTGTGTTCAGGTTCTCCCCTGCATCCGCATCAGCAGTACGGCGCGGGTAGCCCGGGAGTGCGCACTCTACCGCCACCTCAGCAGCAGCATCCCCAGCCGCCACCGCCGACCGCCACCGCGGACCCGTCCGTGACGGCGCCCGACTTCACCCTCGAATTCCTGGAGAACCTACCCACGGGAGACACGTCGAACTTCAGCGCCCAGGAGCTGCTCAACTCCCTCGACTCTACGGCCGGTTTTAATCTCGATATCCTGTAATGGGACCACGCCTGCCGCGTGGTCGGTTCAGATGTCGGTGTCCGACGGCATGCCGGTTTTACTGCGACGGCGGGCGAGTGAGAGACCCCCGACCGTCCCCCTAAAGTATACACCTGGCGCGACGGTACCGACGAATTTCACTTCGTCCGTCCGCGTATCGACCTGCCTCCCGTCGTCGCTTCTCCTCGTTGTATCAAACGAATCGACTTCTCCGCCGGTACTCTCTCGCAAGGAAGCCGTCGACCCGCGAATGTCCCTTTTCGACATTCGAGTCTTCAGTGTTTGCGACTGGAGGAAGGCGTTGTCGGTTAAACGAGACGTTTGATTCAATCGAGTCTCGCGCGAGTTCTAAGAGGGAACGATGATAAAACTGCTGATACTAGAGAAATTTGAACCGACTCTTTTGAACTTGACGCTGAGGGAACGGGCGCAGGTTGAGCGACATGCAGGTACTTTGTTATATTTGAGGACTGACAATTGTGAGTGACAGTTACCCACCGGTGCGACAACGTCCCACAGCCGGTCGTAGTGCATTCTCGGCCGCCGCTCACTGCGGCCGCCGACTATTCTTCTAGGCAATCACATTTTAGTAAAATTTAATTTTGTAATAATAACCGCCCGAAGGGGGCGAGGGGGGAGAGTTTAGCCTGTGGAGACGTGGTAGCGTGGGATATCAAGAGGCACGTGGAAGTCGTTCTATCTCTCGTTTTCTCGTCGGGCGACGATACCGCGGCCTCGGGGAAGGGCGCGTAACGCCACATCGAGAACGATCGGATACATTTTCGAGTGCCCGCGTCGACGACTTCGGCAAAACTGCGATGACTTCGACGGGCATTCCGCGAGACGATTATCCGCTCTCTTGATTTTTCACGTCGAAATCCGCGCGAGTAGATAGAGATATTGATATTGATACGAGGGCCGCGATCATAGTAGAGTTTACCTCGACTGAACCTATTCGGCCGCGAAAACTGGTTACCTTGCGCCGGCCCGCCGTTGCAGAGCGTCCAAGATTCCCCGGACGGGCGGGCACGGCCGGGCGTTAATACTTTATAAGGATAATAATGTAACAATGTAACGATTATATTATATTATTACATCACAATAACGTAATCATATGTCGTTATATTATTACATTATTGTGGAAATGATAATGTAGTAACGTAACGATTAGAAGGTAGCGTATTTAATTGTGCCGTTAACGGCGCGTTTACAATTAACAGCAAGTCAATTATCGAACATTCAATTTTATGAGTTTGCGACGCGCGAGATCGCGCGCGCGCCGATCTGATTGGACGTGTATCGGAGATTCTTACGACGAGAAGGATGAGAAAAAGAAGAAACTTCCTCCTAAACTGCATTGTTAGCGCTAATACGAGATAAAGGGATTCTTCATTGTACATAGATATTAAAAGCTAGAAGGAATTCGAGACGTTAAGATCGCACACGGACACGCAAACACGTACACGCATACACACACACATAGACCCAGAGTTTAGCCGATTATCTAAGAATAAGGAACCTAAAATATATAGACAAATATTATAATGATGAATAGTGATTAACGACGACGGTAATGTGCGAGGGTACGCGAGGAAATTATGCGCGGCTGAGAGAGGGAGCGTGTGATAAGAGACTTGACAAAATGTATCAGCGACAGAGCACATTTGTTCACCGGTATATATATTTATTAAGTTTCAATACCGAATGTGCTGTGTCGCGCCATGTCGAAGCTGCACACAAATTAATCACGGTGAGGTGTAGATTCCATTTCCGATCCGGCGAGAACTATCCGTATTTTCTAAAAGGGGCAAATCGTCTCCCCCGGAAATTCGCTTCGCGCGGAGTGTATCGTCGAAATGTTCAGCATTCTTTTCCCCCCCTTTTTTGGGTTTTATTTCGTCGAATTAAATCGTACGATGACGCTCGTACGCTTTATTATCCGGATCTTTAAGAAGTCACGAGTAACGAACGATGTCTCTGAGAGTTTCCGCTCTGCGTCGGCTCGTGTGCGCGAAACTGTTAACGATGTATAATAAAGTACAGTGCAGTCCGATGCTGCAAGACAGGGCGAGGGAGAGCGGGAGAAGGAGAGAAAAGGGAATCTGCGACTATTCTTCCAAATAGCGATACATTCCATAGATAACAAAAAAGAAAGGGATAGCGATCTGTGGTTCGTCTAATCAAAAGTACTGTTTTTAAAAGGCAAGAGAAACGCACGACAGAAAGGAATATTAATGTTATAATATTAAGAGAAGCAGGCATTGAATCCCGCGCTTATATATACACGCATTCGCGAGAGAGCACATCCTCGAGCCGTTCGCCGAAAAGTTGCGCGCGAAGACTTCCGATCGGATTTTAACTGTCGCCTGCCGCCGCGACTCTTCGCTAGGAATTAGCGAGTCCCGCGCCAAGTGGAGATTAGGAGATAATAATATTAATAATAATAATCGTTTTTTAAATTTCTCTCAATCGGGTGGGGTGACACTATCCTGTAAAATATTGGGGCCACAAAACATAATCTAAAAAAAAGAGAGAGGAGGGGTGGGAGAAGGAGAGGAAGAGGAAGATTAGAGGTCTGATTCTCACGTCAATACCTTTGTAAAATCTTTACGAAAAACCGGCGAAAATTCACCACATTGCTTTGTCCGTTTTGTACGTTTCACGCGAGCGAGGGAGGAGAGAGAGAAGGGAGGGAGCGACGAGGAGGCCGAACTGCGCATTGTTATAGAAGAGAGAGCGAGAGAGAGAGAGAGAGAAAGAGAGAGAGAGAGAAAGAGAGAAAGAGAGAGAGAGAGAGAGCGAGAGAGAGCATCAGGGACCAACCGAGAGAAACAAAGCGCGCGATATCGATTGTCACAGTGGATCGTTGTCTCTCTTCTTCGAGCGGATTCGCGGGGAGGGAAGCAGTGCCTGGCGAAAACAATTTGAGCCGTTTGTTACCGACTTGTTAGAAAATTAGCCACGGTGTCAACATTGTACGCTCGAGGGTTTGCGCAAAGAGGGGAACCCATGGCACTTATTATTACGCATAGGCCGACATTAGGTGTACATCGGTGACGCCGCATCGTTGAAACGTTGATCCTCTCTTTTTTTTTCTTCTTTTTTACACTGTCGACAGTCGATCGTGAGGGAGCACACGATACAATCGAGGCGAAGGTTGCGACGTGTTGATTTCTCGAGGGTGACCTTGGTTGGGACGCATATATATATATTCGTATTATTTATAAATATTTATAAAAGAAACATTATATATAACACGGGCATTTCGTATATAGAATAAATTCCATGTTGAATTGTTATTAATAAAAAGCGTTGAGTTCCTACAAGATACATATATATCTTCTTCACTTTCGAACTTTCGAACTTTTTCCGAAAAAACAGTCTCCGTCTCGTCGGTGACGCCGGGCGTCGCGCTATCGGGGAAGATTCACGATTCGGCCGCGCGCGGGATAAATTCGATCCGTTTCGTCCGCGCGGAAAATCCCACGATAAACCGTCGGCGGCTTATCGCGCGCGTATCGATCCGTCCGAAAATTAATGCGCGTTACGCGAGCGTTTCGCGATCGGCGTGCAACGCGAGACTTTCCCCACGCAACCCCCCGTTCTATCTCTTTCCCGATGTGTCTTGTCGCTGTTCCTTCACCCCCTCCTGCAAAAATCTGCGAATTGCTTGGGACCGGAGGATTCGCCAGCAGTGATGCCAGAAGTTAAACGCGGCCCCGTCGGCCACGAGACGGAGGAGACACTTAACAAAGAAGAGCCCACGTCGAGAGGCCGCGTCTCATTTCTGGCACCACTGTCTGCCAGCCGCCGTACGTCTCTCCCTTTGTATCTCACGGGAAAAAGTATGAATTTCGTTTCGTTCCCCCCCGTTTTCCCACGGCGTGCAGATCAGCGGGCGAAAACAGGAGGGGATTTCGGTCGCCTCCGCGCGTCTCCTCGTCCGCGTTACGATTCCACACTGGGTCGAATGGCAGCCTAATGTTGCCGCTCGTGGGTGGGCCTCGCGGCAGGAGGATCAATATCACCGTGAGGGAGAGAAAACTAGCAGACTGAGAATGGGAGCAAGGGGGTAGGAGCAGCCGGCGCCGTCGCCGTCGCCGCCGCGATGAGGGATAAGGATTACAAGGGCGGCGGCAGCGGCGGCGGCGGCGGCGGCGGCGGGGAGCGGCATGGACCACGTACCCCGAAAATGTCAAGCTGGCTCTTCGCGGAGTCGCGACGAGACAATTGATCCGCGCGTCGCCGGCCCCGCTCGATCGCGCGCGATTCTTCCGAGGCGCGTCTCGACGATCTTCAACCCCTCGTTCGCACCCGCTCGATCCCGTCCTGCCGATCGCGTTAAACGTCTTCCCGACTAGCGCTTGAACGAGAACGCGCCGTCCTGAGGTCGTTCCTCGGCGGACGGTCCCCGGAAGTCGCTTCGGTGCTCGATCGCGCCCAGGCACCGCCGTTCTCCGACGACTCCGCTATTCGTTCCTCTCGTTCGAATCCGCCGCGGGCGTCTCACACGAGCTGCGTTTTTATCGATCCGAGGCGGAGAGCGCAGGCAGAGCAACGATCCACTGGCCGACGCCGCAATTCGCGCGTCTCCTCGCGACGATGCTCCGACACGGCGACCCTCGGGCTCGGGCCGCTCGCGAGGATACCCGTTGCGCGACGCGGTGTCAATCATCGCTGACCGAGGGATGCTCGCGAGTGTCGCGGGGCCTTCGTTCTCGATAACAAGCGTTTGACCCTCTGCGGCCCGATGTGTTTTTTAAAAAGGCGAACGTTTGTCACGCATACAAACGTAAATGACTGTCGGCTATAAAAGAAAGTAATTAAAGAAACATTAATTCCTGTATCCTGTGCTTTTAAAAATAACGCGAACGTTTGATTGCGTACACTGAGAAAATGTCCGATTAAATATAGTCGGATAATCCAATTACTTAATAACAAACGGATGTATCCAATTAAATTGTATATCCGACGAAAAATATGATCGGGTTTTCGATCAAATTTCATCGGATGTATCCATAATTTAATCGGAAAACGTACTCGGGAAAATTAACCATCGGAAACACTATTCAATTGGTTTATCCGTAAATTTTTCCCAGTGTACCTTTCGATTTCGCAAAAGAGCTCGAATTGGCGACGGGAATGTCAGAGAACCGCGACAGCGGTTCGCGGTACAAACTGCTGGGGCGCAAAGGGTTGAACAAACGCGGCCGCACACACGCCCCGCGAACGGATATTTAATTACGCGCTGGTAATCCGGCACTCGTCTTTTCTTCGCCGGGGAAACTCCTCCCTTCCCTCGCAGCGTTCTTTTCTCTTTAAGCCTAGTCTACAATGCGCTTTCTGCAACTGGGAACATTCTATTTTATACACCGAGAAAAATGGCCGATTAAATGTACTCGTAATCGGATAATCCAATTGCATAATAAACGGATATATCCGATGAAAAATATGATCGGCTTTTCGATCGAAGTTCACCGGTAACTGCATTTTATCGGATGTATCCGTAATCTAATCAGAAAAATTAACCATCGAAAACACTATTTAATTGGTTTGTCCGATGGATTTAACAGTTACATTTATCATTACTTTTTATATTTCGAACCTAGTTATAAAATATAACTGTATTTTCTTTCTTAATCTTCAGGCATCGATCGGTTTTCATAATCTATTATTATTATACATATATTGTTACGTTTAGGATAAGTTTGAAATTATTTCGTTAAAAATTTGAATGAAAAATTGAGAGCACAATTTAAAAAACTGTAGCTACATTTTTATTTTTCATGGAAATCAAAGCTTTTATTTACATTTTGAGCGTTAAAATTTATCCCCTTATATTTTTCACGGTTTTACAACTTCAAAATAAAAAAGTGTTTTATCAATATCTATTGCAAAAGTAAATGTTTTAGTTTATCTGTCTCGTTTCAGAATTAAAAAGTAATCGAATCGTTATTTTTTAAGTAACGGTAACGATTACGTGTTACTTTTGAAAATCGGTAACGAGTTACATTTTCTACTCTGTAACGAGCACTTTTAAAAAGTAACTTTCCGATCCTTGATTTTACATAAACAAATCAAAACGCTTGAGAAATTTGTCGACAACGTACGATTGTACAATGTATAATATACAATTTATCGACTTGCGCAAAATTTTTAAACGTATTTACCGACTACAAAATCGAGGCCGGTGTTCATAGTCAGATCTCGTATTCAAAACCGTCTGATCGTCTTTAGGTACTCCGTAGCCAATGAAATGTTTCACACAGCATCTTTAGATACATTCAAGACGGTCTTGGACGTAAGACTTGACTACGAACACCGGTCCGAATGTTTCTAGACGCAGAGAGCGCATTGTAGGCTGAGGCCTTACCGCGGGAAACGAGGAGGAGGGAGAGAGGGTCATCCCTGAAACGAGAGGGGACTGTCGCACAGACGCGGAACAGTCGGCCGAAGATTTAGATATCAATTAACCACCGCGAGGGACATTTAGTGGGATCAGTATTTCTACGCGAAATGGTTTTGATATACATATATATATAAAAAAAAACAAAGGAGGAGAGACGCGAGTTCGCAAGGGGGGGGGGCGATTTATCGAAAGGTCGCGGCGCGTCGGTTTCTCTTCCTTCGTCGCTGTAAATACGTAGACACAGGAGAGAAAGAGAGAGAGAGAGAGAGAGAGAGAGAGAGAGAGAGAGAGA